AGATCTTGTAGGACAGCTCTCTTCACATGCTGCTTGGTCAGTGGCACCTGCAAGACTAAAGTACCACCTTTCAATCTAGCAAACAGCATCTAAAACCTCCTGGAGAAACAGCAAGCAAAATTTCTAATGAAAATTCTTTGGTGAGTTTGCTCAACAGTTTTCAGCAGTTTTGATTTAGTAAATACATTGCTCACCCTCTCTGAGTGAGAATGAGCTCACCACTAATATCCCTTGCTCTCCACATGCTGGTGGCAGCTAGGAGTTCACTGGGAAGAAGTGAGTTTGAGAAAGCTGATGGTAAAATGATGTAAATGGGCACAGCCTCAGCCAGAAAGCATCTGTGTGTGAAAAGACGACAGGTCACAGGGAACACAGTGGGGAACTGTGCTGAGCTGACTGCTGTGTGCTCACCAGCACATTCAAGGCTGGAGGCAAACAAGCACTGTCATTGTTTTAGCTACATGATGTCCCTCACAATGAGCCTCTGCTACCACAGCTGTCACTTAGGATTTTAATTCATCCCTTCACATTTCAGCAGCCCAGTAAACCCAAAGTGCAAGGGCACTTCACAGACCTATTCTAGGCTACCGAAGGGTTGATGCCTACCCTGCAGTTTTCCATGGCACAGAGGTACCTAAATTATATCCTAAAGAGCCGGGATCAGAAGCTGTCAGTAGCACCAATTAGCCCCATCCAGTTTCTCAATGCCCCTCCTGTTTGCTCACAGACTGCTGTGCTGGGGGCAGCCCCAGTCACTGTCACTCCCCACCATCCCCTGAGGGTGGGAGATCAGGGTCACCAGCCAGACCCAGATGCTACAATTGCTTATCTGAATGCCACTACAGCTGTGACATTAATTTATTCTAAACCAGGCAGCCAGGAGAAGCAAACTGAGTTTGAGCACACAAACACAAAGTTCAGCACATACACACCAAAAAGCAATTCGCAGATGCAAAGAACTACAAACGCCAGACCCTAGACTGCAAATACCATCCAGGCATAGCAGATGCATGCAAGGTCCTGCTCAAAAAAAGGAAAGGCATAATGATCTGCAGAGGTTCATCTGGCCGTGGCCAAGGAACATGAGAGAGGAAGTGTCATTAATTAGACCCTCCATCCTCATTCCTCTCCTCAGATGTTCTCAGCACAAGTCTTTACTCACTGCAAAGAAAGATGCACTATTTGTTTGCATAAGGCTTACAAAGTCTCAGCACAGCCTGCCTTGGGATTACAATTCTGACTCAATGTTTAATGGTTCTACAGCTCACATCAGCCTTTGAATGCCTTGGCCAAGTTTTAGGTTGTTTCTGAAGATCACACATCACAAAAAGCAGTGGAGCACAGCCAGACACTTCTGCCATACACTGTTTTCTCTAAACATATTTCACCTCAGTGAAATTCCTGCAGAATAAGTTAAGTAGCAGCACTACATACTTAACCTTCCTTCCCCTTTCACCCACTGATGCATGTTTACACTTGAACCAGATCTTGTTAGCCTGATTCACGCTGTTACTGCTTGAGGCAGAATCATTCAGTTGTGTTCCCCCAGAATAAGCCCTCTGCAGATCAGGTGATGTGCTTCTCAGGTCTAGAGTTACACCATAAGAGAGAAACCAAGGAAATTTACCACAGTTGCTTTCTGACCTGCAAAGAATCCTTCTTCAGCAGCTGCAAGGAAATACTGAACAGCAAAGAATGCTTCCCACGGGCACCACCGTGCCCCCAAGCCAAAGCCACCCAACAGCCTGTTCTACCTTAAGGCAAGGTCCACCTTTAATACAAACCAACTCTTGCCTTGCACTTTTTTCCCCACATGCTGTGTTTTTCTCCAATCAAATGTCTTTTTTCAGAAGGTCAATAGAGATTACAGAGAGGTGCAATTATGAGCACACAGAACTGTACTTTGAAACCCTGCTCAGCCTGACACAGAGCGGTACCATCTTAAAATGTGCACAGTTAAAACTCAAGTTTGCTAATTGATATGGGTTTGTGCTTATAAACCACAAAGTAAATTTTACTTTGGACTCCATTAAATTCTTCACATTCTACCTGTTAGAGATGATTAGGCAGGATTTGATCATATGTGATTTGGCTATTCAATGCATTCTGTTGTTTTAATTGCCAGAGTGGTTTGCTTTTGTTGGGTTGTTTTTGTCATTTCTTTTTTTTTAAAGTTGGCACACCAAAAGGTTATATGAAGCACTGATGCAATGAAGAATTCATCAGACTAAACATGATGATTACAAGAAAAAAAGTCTCTGGAAGCAGGATGACTAGGACAAACACTGCTGCAAATACAGGCCCATTTAAGTCTCTAAACAAGAAAGTTGCTTCAAAAGCCAAGTATGAAGGCTCTAGAAAAAGGCATAGTACACTTTTCGAAAAGCTTCTGTTAATAACTGTGTGTTTTGTTGCTACAAAAGTTCTTTGAAGAAAAGTACATTGTGCCATACAGAGCCCACCCACAGAGATCTTCCTTCTCTGCCAGGCAGATGGCAGCTCCATGCCCCACAGGTGAGAGGAGAGGACTCAGGACTGCTGGTTTAATTCCCCCCAACCCCAGCAAAGCCATCTCCTGCTGCTTCCCACTGCCTCAGCTTGGAGGAAGTGCTTGGCCTTGCACGGTTTCACTCGATGGTACATGGCCCCAGTCAGAGCAGAAATGAAGCCAAGTAGGAAACCCAGATTGCAAAGTCAGCACTAGCACAGCTACAGCCACTGCAGGCAGGGTGGGAGGTGTAGGTGCACGAAGCCCATTCTTTAATGGGCACAGCCACATTCCCCCCTGGCTCCAGGAGAGTCACAGCACCCAGTGCCACCAAAGAGGCCAGGAGAGGAGAGCCACCCCAAAGCACAGCTCAGGAAAGGGCACCATGACCAGCTCTTACCTCCTAAGTTTGAGGGGTAGTGCTGTTGGCTGAGCTCATCAGCATTACACAGGGGATACCCTGCACCTGGCAAACCAAATGAGGCTGGGGACTCATTTGTAGCCAGCTCCATCTTGGCCCTGCAGTGTTTGTCCAGTTTGACCACAGAGCACTGGCCCCAGCAGGGGTAGAAGGCAGGGGTGGCCCAAGCACAGCATGTCACCAAAACCCCACAAGCAGAAGGAACAGCATCGCCGTGGGAAGAGCCACGAACAGGGACTTGCAGACAGACACAAGGATAGAAAAAGAGCTCAAGTCCAGAGAATAACAAAAGGGAGGGTGGAACAGGAAAGAAAGTGAGGGACTAGAACAAGGACAAGCAATAAAAGCAACAGCAGCAACAAGCTTAGCCGAAGCTTAACTCAGTAATTGTGCTACGACATGGCAAGGAGGAGTCAGGCAGATTAAATAAGTGGTTTGATAGAACTGTCTTCTCCAAGGAGTCTCTGTCCTATTTGTCTGCAGTTCAGCTGGGAAGTTTCAACATGCCTTCAAGTATCCATCCCATCATGCAGGATAATCAGGACAGTTAGAGCCACTCTGACATAAATGCCCCAAGCAGAAAGGACAGCACAGGAAAGGAGGGAGCTCCTCCTGGAGCAAACCCTGCCAAGAGCCCCTGGCTCATTTTGAGAGGCAGCTCCCAGCAAGGTTAAGATGCTGTAAGTCACCCAGCAGGGAGGATGGAGGAGGGGCAGGAGCACATGGTCCTTCCCCTCAAGAACAGGTTCAGCAGTGACCTACCCAGGCCAGCAGTGCCAAGGGAGCTCCTCCAAGAGCTGCAGGATTAGGCAGGCACACGGCGAACAGGGCTCAGGGCAGGGACGCTCTGTCAGTACAGCAGGAGGAACTCGCCCTGCAATAGTCAGATCTCAATAGCATTTGTCAGCTGATGATTTGATTACATAAGAAAGCCTTGCCTCAGAAAGGCCAGAGCCTATACAGACTGTATGTTTTGAATTCTTACAGCAGAGCAGCAACTGTCCTACAGCTCTTTAAGATTGCAAGCTCATTAAGACAGCAAACCTCCAGAGGCAGCTACTGTTTTCTTGTCTCACCAGAACACCTGCCTCCACTGCTAACAGAAATCCTCTCCAAAACTTCTAAGAGGGTTGCTGCAGGGATATAATTATTTTTCAAACCACTCAGAGGTTTAAGACGCAGTATTCATTCTCATTGTTCAATTTCTCTCCAGAAGATAGGGCTTCCCAAAGCAGTGTCACTTCACAGAACTCCAACACACCCAGGAGGATGCTTTTCTGTCCAACAGCTGGGCAGAGCCACCAAAGCCACTCATCCTGTCGCATACAGAGCACCTGCTGGGACTGTCACCAGAAGGCATTTACACAGCTTTTAGCCTAGGTTTCTCAGGTAACATCAGCCCAAAACACAGCCAAATCTCACTCTTCATTTGAAAGATGGGCAGGTCAGGAAAAACTTACTTCCACTAAGTAGGAGACTTTCTATAGCAGGAGAAGAGGAGCTCTGTTACCAGCCTGTGCAAACTGGAAAACAACCTTTAAAGACCTTCAGCTACTTGCATTGGAAGCAGCATTTTGCTGCTGCAAAGTTACTTACAGAAGAGTCTCACACTTCGCTTATGTCTGAGCTGGTTAGTGCGCAGGGCATAGGGAGAAACAGCACCTGAGCCTGGAAACCCAGCCTACTTTACAGCCCCAATCAACTCCAGTCTTAAGAGGCATTAAAAACCTCAGCATCCATCACCTCTGGCGACCACAGGCTCAGGCCAGAAACCCAGGGCCCGGCCAGAGCCCGCTCGTCCTCAGCCCCAGCAGCAGCCGCAGATTTCGGACACGGTTACTCATTAATCAGAGAAAAAACAACATCACCAGCGCCTGAAACAGCACTGGCCAGTCCGGGCAGAAACTCCTGTGGTGCGGGGAGGCAGCGACATTCCCGGCTGTTACCGAGGAGCCGCGCCGCGGATGTGCGGCCGGGCCGTGCCCCGTTCCCGCAGCCCCCGACGAAGGGAGGGAGGGCGGGCGGGAAGGGGCCGCTCCCAGCGCGGGGACCCCTCTCTTTGCGAGCCCCCCGCCGTTCCCCGGCGCTCACCGTGGTGGGACATGGGCAGCACCTCGTTGCCGGTGCCGCGGTAGTTGTAGATGACGGCGGCGGCGGCGCCGCGCTCGGCGGCCAGGCGGATCTTGTCGGCGAAGGAGCAGCCGCCGCCGCGCTCGATGAGGGCGAGCCAGCCCGGGGAGCCGCCGGCCGGGGGGGCCCCGCTGAAGTTGGTGAGCGCGCTGCAGGCATTGAAGGCGTCGGGGCTGTCGGGCAGCAGCAGCAGCCCCTCGGCCGACTGCAGCGGCGAGTCCAGCCCGTACAGGCCGCTCTCGCCCGCCTCCCAGCCGCTCCGGTTGCGGTCCACGCCGTTCTCCCACGACACGTTCAGCCAGGCGGTCCACGCCGCTGCCGCCGCCGCCCCGCGGGGACCGGGCGGCGGGACGGCGGAAAGCAACGCGGCCAGCGCCAGCAGCGCGGGCCCCGACGGCATCCCAGCACGGCCCAGCCCGGCCGCCCCGCCGCCTAAAGCCGCCGCCGCGGCTGCCGGGGGAGGAGCGGGGCCGCCCCCGCCGCGGCACGCCCCCGGCACCGCGCGGGACCGCGCACCATCGCACTATCGCACCATCGCGCTATCGCACCATACCGCACTATCGCACCGCACGGCACCATCGCACCGCACCATCGCACCGCACCTGCTCCGCCCGCCGCCGCGGGAACCCCGCCGGGAATGGGTCCCCACCGCTGCCCGGGAGTGGGGACCCCGGGCGCTGCGGTGCTGTGCGGGGTGCGAATCCGGGCGTCCCCCTCGCTGTGTTCTGCCCGGGCGCGGTGTGCCACCAACGCACGTTTCTCCCGAGGGGATGCGGAGGGTCACCCGCCCGGGCCACCTCTCAGAAGTGATGGCTCCTCCTGACATCAGCTCTCGGGGTGATGGGTGATCCCCCGTGTGCCGCCCAGGAAGGGTGGCTCACCTCCTCCATCACCGCCGCCTCCTCCCGCAGCCCGCCGCCGTGCCCACAGCGGACTGAGCACGGGGACTCCTGAAGATGCCCTGACACTCCACAGCGGCCCGGAGACACAGCGGCACCAGCACACGGTGCTCAGCCGTGAGCCACCTTGCTTCCCACAGCTGAATTCATGTTTGCTGGATACTCAGCGGCACGGTGTCAGTCCTGACTGATGTTGTCTTACAAAATACTGGGTTAGCACTGGTCCCTCACTGGACTGGCCATTGCTGTCCCAATCATTTGACAGATGCTATAAACCTGCCACTTCAACCAGCAACCCCTTTTTCTAGTTATACATTAGTTGTGTTTGCATCATTAATTATTATTTGATCTATGGAACGCACAACAAAAAGTCCTGTTTCTCCAGGGCCCTGCAGTTTTTTTGGGGACAGCCGGTTTGCATGCACCAGTCCCTTGCTCCAGCACTTACACACTTCTGCCAAGTTGTCCCGCATCAGGCAGTGCAATCAGAGTGCTGGCAGAGACATTGCAACCACGAGTGTGAAATGCTGTAGAGCCCTGCCAGGGAATTAACAAAGGAAAATGACATGAGAAAGAACATTTCGAGCTCCTCTTCTCCAGAGAGCCACTCTTTTGACGGAGAGGCCTTGCCTCCTATCAGCTGCTCTGTGGGAATCGCCCCCAGCCCCAGGAGCCTTTCAAACACATCCCAAACAGCCACATCACTATGCACAGGCTGCAGCTCTGAGACCCCATCACTGAGAAAGGAATACTCTGGGGCAGTGATTACTTAGCCCAGGATCAGCTGCTGCCCAGGCAAGCAACAACAAAACTAGTGTAAACACAGAGTTCAGAGTTTCTCATACGAGTCAGCACCACTCTGTTTTTACGCCAGGCTCTGGGCTGGTTCTGAGCCTGTGTGACTGATAACCAGTAATGTGTCATCTGTCTGTGGTGCCCATTGCCCCTGTGCTAAGAGCAGCACACTGAGCATTGCACAGCCAAACCCAGCTCAGGTTTGAATCCTCCCTGGGGACAGGGGCTTTGGAACCAGCCCACTCCCCCTGCCAGCCTTCCAAAGGTGCTTCAAAACCAACCCCTCACCAGCATCCACCCCATCAGCACAGCAGCTGCAGGTTTGGCAGCTCAGCAGCACAGGGAGATTGGTGTGGTTTTGCTACTGCAGTAGCAGCGTGCAGAGCAAGTAATGAAGAGCAGATGAAGGAATTTGCTCAAGATCAATTTTGCTTACTGAGTGAACACTTTTGCCCTAACCTAAACAAACCTTCATTTTCCCATTCCACGTCTAAGTAGACAACTTATTTCAACAGCAATAGCTCCAGCTATAATGAGAAGTAAATCCATAAGCAATCAGAGAAACGTGCTTTTGTTTTGAAACCTGTTCCATGTAGGGGCAGAGAAAAACACAACACACCTCTGAAAATACCACCAAGCTTTATGCACTCAACAGCAGCCAATCTGCTCAGACTCAAATGCCTACAAAACTTTAAGGATGTTGAGCTCCAGCATTTTCACTCGGACAAAACTGAACCAAAGCCAAAGGTTGGAACCTTCTCAGAATACAAAATTTCCTATAGATCTGGGGATTTTGAGCATAAGGCTTAGCCACAGTCTCTTACACATGCATGCATTACAGTACACCATATGATTAAAAAGCACAAACAGAGGCTGGGTGAAGAATGCATTGAGAGCAGCCCTGACAAGGACTGGTGATGGAAGGAAGGGTGGTGATGGAGGAGAAGCTCAACCAGCCTTGCTTGGTTTGGCAGGGAAGCCAGCTGCAAGGGGCCAACAGTCCCTGTACATCCCACCCTGGTCAGAGACCCTCTGGGCCAGCCAGGAGTGGGTCAGGTGGCTGGGAATCCCCAGCAGAGCTGGTAGATTTTAAAACCCACATGCCAGTTGTACCTATTTGAAGCCACATATCTCACACTGAGAACTTCCTGGCTCTGAGAATTAGCAAAATTCAGGGAAAAAAAATAAATATCTATCTTGCAATCTGCAAAGCACATACCTATGCTGCCGACACTTGTAGGTTCATTTGTGTCCTCTCACCTCGAAAAATACACTGGTGCCTTCAAAACAAATACTAAGAGTTGCTCTGCATCGCTGTCTAAGTTAATTTGCAACTTGTACAGGTAAAAAACAGGACTAACTTCAGACACTCAGCCCTTTGCCTGCCCTGTACCAATCAACGTAACAGCAGGGTCTTGCTGACTAAGCACTGAAGTCGACTCAAATTGCATAACATGTTACTTTTCTAATTGAATCCCTTGATCAGAACAATCACCAACAAACACCCCTGATTCCTCAGAGCCTGGCTGTGCTGCCCTGAACCCAAGTTCTGAGAAAGAAATGACCGGGTGCCTGCAGCCCTTCACTCACCTTGATGTGCCATCAGGAGGGTGTTGTTGCCTCTGCCTCGAGAATTGTAGATCACGGCCGCTGCTGCACCTTTTCTGGTTGCCACCTGAATTTTTTCAGCAAAACTGCAATTGCCCCTTTCAATCAGGGCTATCCACGGTGCTTCCATGACAGTGAAGTCAGTATTTTTGTCGCAGGCATAGCGATCAGCAGATACTGGAATGCCCACCACCCCCTGAGCGCCAATGTAAGGAGAGTTAAAGCCATACAGACCACATTCACAGCGCTCAAACACAGTCCTGTTGCTGGTGCTGTTGAAATAGAATAAACTGAGAGAGGCCATCACAGAAATTGCCTCTGTAGTGTGGAATGAAATTAAAAAATCCATCAGGAGAAAGAGAAACCAGAACTTCTTGACTCGCTTCATTGCCTCTTCCCAGCAGCAGGAAACGGAGATGTCCCGGGCTATTTTCCGCTGCTGGTGCGCACAGCGGGCACGGACCGCTGCCGAGTCCCAGCGGGAACCCGACACCAGCCAGGTGAGCTCGGCAGTGCCGGAGCTCCGCGGGGCCCGCTCCCCGCCCGGGACACGCCCGCCGATCGCGGGGCAGCGCCGCAATGTCCTGCGGCCCAAACTTCCTCCTGCCGCTGCCACACAACGCCCATCCTTCTCCTCCTCCTCCTCTCCCAGCACGGCACAAACTCCAGCTGGCGTGGTGCTTCCCCGGAGAGCGCTCGGGCTCCTGTTTCCACCTGTGTCCCTGCAGAGGAACAGGTCATCTTTCATGCAGTTACATAAGCCCGCGGCTCTCGCTTCGTGGGGAATCTGTGATGCAAATGGCCTTGCTAAGAAGGTCAAAAGCAAAGGGAATGTATTCGTAATTATTAGAAAAGTTACCCTTCTTCCAGGCAAGGTTAACCAAATAATTTCCTGCATTTCTCCTTTTCAGATTATTTCAGTCATCTACTCGGAGAGGTCCAGCTTGTTCTGGTGCTTCGAATGAGCTGGTTGTGCTCTTGATTGATGCACCATGGCACCAGATGTGGAATCATCTACACTGAACTCAGAAACAAACTCCCTCTGTCAGAGCATTTTCACATTCCACATGACTTGAAAGATGTCCACTGAGGGGTTGGAATGATTATCACACAACTCTCCACTTGTGGCTGCAGGCTCTGGGGATTCGTTCTCTGGATTCAACCAGGATTGTATTCCCTAACAGTTTCTGGTATCCCTTCATGTTTTCTTAGCATTCAACAGTAACAATGAAAACCTTACCCACAGCATAAGTCTCTAGTCCACCAGGAAAATAAAGGACAAGCTGTCAAGTTCTCAAAACCTAAAACCTTTTTCCTGCTTTGCTGCAAGAGTCCTGCTGCACGCAGTGTGGAAAGCCAAGAGAAGCTGCAATTTGGGGGCACATCTTGTGACAGGAGCTCGACCTTGTTCTCCAGAAAAGGGTCATGAAAAGAGCAAACATCACTGTGGAGAAGATTCTCGGAAAAGCCAAAGAGCTTTCCAGACATGAAATGAAAATGGAAAGAAACAACCAAGATGTTCACATCTACTATTAATTCCCTTCCTTATATGCTCCCCTTTTCTATGTTGCACTAGTTCTACATCACAGTAATTCCAAATTATTACCTTGAAGACCTAGGACTTAGCAGTCTTCTACACTCTGCAGGATCAGTAGCTACACACAGTTTGCCTTCTCCCTGTTTTGCTTTGAAAGCAATGCTGGAGACACCAGAAACCTGCAAATGCAAGATTTCAGAGCACAGTGCTTTGGTGAGCCATGGGTTCTAGAGACAAGGCCTGTGCTCCCCCAGTATTTCACCCTCAGAAGTGACAATCCACAGCAGAAACAAAGGTGACTCCTGGGACATTGTGCAACAGACCAGACTCCGTGTCTTGGCTTCACGTGGCAAAGTTCACCTGTTCTGACAGACTTGGGATCCAAACTAGTTGGCTTTTCTGGATGTGTCAATGAACAGCAGGAGAAATAAAGCAGCCAGCAGAGAGGGCCTTTGCTCCAGGCTGAAAGTGCTGGATTGGCAGGGAGAAGGCAGACAGGCAGAGTGGTGAGATCACAAACTAACACTGCAGTCATCATGAAGTCATCATATCAAGTCCAGC